AACCCTGCTCTGTCCTTTGCCAATCTTATTGTCTCCAACACACCTATCCCCGTTATCCCAGTGAAGTGACTGAATCAATCCATCTCATTGAATGTCTTCCTGTCCTTTGCTGTCGCTCCACCCTCCCAAGCATGACGTCCCTCTCCAAGGACTGGTCCCGCCTTGCAACATGTCCACAGTATGTTAGACAAAGCTTCAGAATCCTTACCTCTAAGGAGCATCCTAGCTTCAACCTCTCCAGGACAAATTTGTTTGTTCTCCTAGAAGTCCATGGTATATTCAGTACTCTTCTCCAGCACCAAAGCTCAAAGTCATCAACTCTCCTTCTATCATCCCTAGTCATTCATTGTCCAGCTCTCTGATGCATAACAAGTAACTGTAAAGACCGTGGCCTGTATCAGGTACACCTTAGTCTCCAGACTGACATCATTGCTCTTCAGTACCTTGGAGCCGTCTCTGACAGCAGACTTTCCCAGTGCAATTCATCTCTTGATCTCCTGGCTGCTGGTACCAAGAGTGTTGACTATGGAGCCAAGCAAACTAAAATTGTTAACTATCTCAGTCTCTTCAACATCGATACTGATGCTGTCAGTTGGCCTAGTGGTGAGAATTTTTGTCTTCTTAATGTTGAGCCTCAATCCATATTGAAGGCAGCAGTCCTTGACCTGCTGCAACAAGCACTTCAGGACCTCCTTGGTTTCAGCAAGCCGGGTTGTGTCATCTGCTTAACATAGGTTGTTAATGAGTCTACCTCCAATTCTGATGCCACACTTTCTCAGTGTTAGCCACAGTTTATTATGATCTACACCATCAAATGCCTTTGTATATCAATAAGTTACAAATAGACATTCTTCTAGTATCCTTTGTTTTCAGCCAGGATCCTTCTGACATCAGAGTGACATCAGCAGTAATATCCCTAGTGCCAGAGCCTCTTAAATTCTGCTTAAACATCTGACATTTCTCTGTCTATGTAATGTTCTAGCCATTTTTTTTTTCATGATCCTCAGCTAGATTGAATTTTGTACAATCAATGACTTATTCATTACAAATACATTTTATAAGAAACATAAACACATGTTATACACATGGATTTCACCTAATGGTATGCATAGGAATCAGATCAATTACATCTGCAGAAAAAACCACTGGAGAAGCTCAATATCAGCTGTGGAAACTAGGCCAGGAGCTGATTGTGGAACAGACCACCAACTACTCATATGCAAGTTCAGGCTAAAGCTGAGGAAAATTAAACCAAAT